GTGAGATATTATTATAAAGGATAATATTTCACTTGATGATAGCAATAATCAGCAACACACACACACACACACACACACACACACACACACACACACACGTGTGTGTGTATGTGTGTATGTGTATGTGTGTGTGTGCACACATCTAAACCGGGTAAAGTAAACTTGAATCGCATCTTGATATATTAAGCCAAGCCTCAGTCTTCTTACCTTCTTTGAAACCTGGCTACCTCAATCGGTAACCGCTTGGGAATACCAGGTGCTGTAAGCTTGGATGTGCGGGTGGTGTATTGGATAACGGCTCGGAATTGGAACTCGGAGAGCAAAGTTCCAATTCCAGTCGGGTTCGATATATTCACTTACGCGCAAATAATCTTGGGAAATGTATAAATCCATCTCCCCCCCCGCTATAATTAGTAGGACTTATATCATTATTATCTTGCCGCAAGATTATAACAATATGAATATATTTTCTGTCTTTAAAATGTTGACAATCAGCGGGGTACTAGACTACCATCGATATCTCATCAAGTTATTATTGAGTTGGCGAGATGTAACTGTAAATTTTATGCTTATAGTTTCTTTTCTCACACTTATCGAGGATAGTTCAATGGTTTCCAGCCAACTTTCCAACCGAACCATTTATTTAGTCCACAATCTACTCCCGTGAACAAAATAAAGGGTTCGGTTCGAAATTCCAACGTATATCACCTGAAGAAGGTCGGCGCGTACAATGACCGAAACGTGAATATGGCAATAAAGATGAAATGACCCTTTTATTTATTGTATTATATTTTTATTACCGAAAGCAAAAACTCATAAAAAAAATTTCTTAAACCTATGAATTTCATTTATGATGCATTTAAAAGGTCAATTTTCAACTGAAAAAGAAGAAAAAGATGTCTACAATTCTTAGATGAATCATAATAATGAAATAATTTTGTCTTTTCCTATTTTGCATAATTCGCCTGTCAAATTTGTTGTATTTATCCTATTGTTCTGAGAATTGAGTTTATTCTTTTTTCTGTGATTATTAATATATAATAAATTTGGCATTATACGGGCATTAGATGTTGAGAATTGGATACAAATATTAAAAAATGATGGGTGTACGAATAATTTTGTCGTTGACTATATATATATATATATATATATATATATATATATGGTGGACTCTCCCGTCGTATTCGACGTATGAGTGTCAAGCGGCTCAGTTCCTAGTGTGACACTATTTAGGGTTGTGTGGAAAAAAAAGAAAAAAAAAGGCGAGAATTAAATTAGGTGATAAGAAGCTATCACGAAAGGACACTGAACGATGTCATTTTTTCTAACAAGGAAAAGTGGTTAAAGATTTTATTTTCATTAGCGAAGAAAGTAAGATCTCGGTAAGATGCCGGGTTTAATTTGATTTATGACGACACACCGAATAAAATACAGCCGTCTACCCATGGCGATAATGAAAATTTCAAATTGGTCGAGTGGCCTACGGGACAGAGTGCTAAGAGATAATATTAATTAGGTCATGCACTGACCACGAAAAATGTCCGCTGGACCACCCGCAGAGTACAAGGAAGGAAATATTAAACCTTTAACTATCTGCGGAAATATCATTTTGAAAAGCACCTGTTTTATGTCAAGAGCTGGCCATGATAGCAAAATTATTTTATCAGAACGAATAATTGGCATCAGGGTGCAAAGTCGCCAGATGACCACCCACATGATGCTGGCGAAAATCTCGTTGACGAACTCCAGATGGGATTCGGTTAAGGTAAGAGTCTAAGTATTTGTTGTCGGAAAGAAGAAAAGAAAGAAAAGAAAGAAAAAAAAAAGAAGATAATTTTTTTTTCTTTGAGCAATAATTAGCAAACACCTACGCCGCTGAGCGTTCATTGGCTGAAGGTGGCGGAGCAAAGGCAAAGGTGAACCATGAAGAAGGAGGAGGCCTGTTGACGCCTCCTGAAGGGATCGGTGCGAGATGCCACTGTGAGAGAGAGGGGAAACCTGTTGACGCCTCTGAAGGGATTGGGTGAGATAGCCATATGAGAAAGAAGAAATTGGGAGGACCATTCCCTTAAAGTAGAAAAGTAAAAGATTTCCAAAAATGGAAAGTGATGGGTTTTCTTGACCAAAAACAAAGAAAATTCTTAATGCGGATTTAGAATTATCAAGAAACCTCAAACCCCGACAAGCCCACCCCGGTTTTGGTCGGCGTCCATATAAGCAGAGTCGCAACGAGTTGAATTGAGTTGATTTGGAGTCACAGACAGGTAAGCAGTTGCAGTTTGTAGTTGAGCTGAGAGCTCTGAAGACCCGCCTCACAGAAAGCTGACTTAAGACCCACGCATTCTCGACCTCAACTTCTAACCAAGAACAATTTATTTTTGAAGAACGACTTAGATTCACACCACCAAAACAAGTTTTACGAATATCGCCTGAAGATACACCAAAACCAGTTTCTTAAAAGAACAATTTAAGATGTTAAGACTCGCCTAACAAACACAAAGTGTCACGAATCCATATAAGCAGGTTGGGAAGAAGACTCAGTCCTGTATTCAGCAACCAGATATAAAATATTGTTATCCTTTTTTTTAACACATTTGAACTTTTTGAGTTATTACTTTATTTTCTTTTACATATACTTGTGCGGTATTACCTTTGTTCGGACTCGACTTGCATTACGGCCCGGCGACTGATTGATTTCGTCTACCTAAGATCAAATCACAACGTGGGTAGGTTAGACAAGAACTCAAAACAATTACTTCGGTAACCAGACGTTGGAGGCGAGCTGGGAACGACAAGGCTGATACTGAATCTAACCAGATTCCCATCCGAATCAGCAAAAGGTTAGAACGTCACATTTGATGCCGCGACCAATACCAAGTCACATTGGTCGTCACAGGATAGGACGGCGACGGCGCGGAGACAGACGGGGTGACGTCACAATTGGCGCCGCGACCAGGACAAGACGGCGGGCGCGGCTAGGCAGACGTCACATTTGGCGCAGCGACCCCGGGGTGAGGACGTCACACTAGGAACCGACACTAGCACATATGATTTGATTATAGTGATGAAGGCTTTGTGCAGAATCAACTACACTTTTTGAAAGGCCAAACATAGAGACCTGGCGCAATACATGCCAAACGGCTCTTATTTCGAGTTGGCCTTCTCCTAGACCAGTTGCCATCTTAGTCTGTCCTGCTATTTACCCATAACTGGTGGGAGAAGAGGATTAATACCTTTCCCATGGATTCTACTGGAATTCGAACTCGGCTCTCCGATTCCTCAATCCATGCTTCCTATAATAAAATATAGTTTAAGGTATGCTATATTTATGGGTTAAAGTGCTCGATATCAACGATAGACCGTATTTAAATATAGAAGTGGACATTGAGGTCAACATCCAGCAATGACAGTCTGTTTGATACTTAAACACAATCGTCAGGCCAATCGATTGGCCCGACGATTTCGTTTAAACAGTGAATGATCATTGATTGGCCTGACGATTGTATTTAATCATGAAACAGACTGTCGCCACTGGATATATATATATATATATATATATATATATATATATATATATATATATATTGAGCCCAGTTTATTGGCTCAAAATAGAGACATAGGAGAAGGTTGAAATCATTCATAAAGGCTTGAGAAACTATCTTGCTGACCGTGAAGAAGCCTGGAATTAAATCGGCTGAGACGCATGGTAACAATATAAGCAATACAAAGAATACGTCTAATTGACCGAACACTCTTGGGAATATTTTTTTGTTTTCCAAAATTTGTTCCGTCAAATTCTTTGATAACCAGATAATAAATAATACTCGTTTTTTTTTATTTCCAGGTCTTGCTCTTTATTTTTGTATATATAAATGTTAAAGGTGTTTATAATTATTTACTCAAAATTATAACTCCCCTACAACCAGCGTATAGTTTGTTATCCTTCTTTTTTTCTCTCTTGCATTTAAAGCTTCCTCATCTCATGCATCTCTTTTTATTTGTCACTCTCTCCGAGCAACTGTATAAGAATGTGTAAAGTACATCAGGTGGGCAAGATGCTATCGTTGCACTTTCATTCGTATGGTAACATGCAGTGGTTGATGGCAAATAACTCGCGTGATTGTTTTTTGCTCATTCTATGTCTCTTAAAACTCTTCTCGTTTCAATAAAACGTTCGAGAATGTCAATGTATGAATAAAAGTGAGGTGAGCGGTTATGTCCTTTTGTTCGTTCTGCTCTCTCATGGGCGAGATGATTTTTTTAATAGGATGCAAAATACGCATCCTTCGAAAAGGTCTGCTGAATAACTAAACAAAGATAATATATTTTTGCTTTCTCTGCGCGAATGAATATTGCCTCAAAATACTCCTTTAAGAAAAATTTTTTAGTAAAGATATTGTGGAATACAAATGCAAATGGATGTATACCTATGTTTTATAGATTATGCAAAAGGGTTTGATAAAGTACGTCACAAAGAACTCTTGGAAATCCTAGGTAACCTTGCCATATTGGGGAAGGATATTAGAATCACCCTGAGCCTATATTAGCAGCGATCCACCTGCATATGGATAGAAAATTCAGTAAATATATAAAGTTCTGTAAAATAAGGATGTCTTCTGACCGGACTTATTCAACCTATGGAGCGAGGTGATTTTGAGAGAATCATAAGTCATAGACGTACTCATTATTGACGACCATAATCATAGCATTAGAAGACGTACAAATAACAATGTTGATAGCAGACACAGATAGGAAAGTACATGAACTCCTACAGAATGTAGTGAAAGAAAGTCTTTTTTTTTTTTTTACTAATTAACCTATAGCTGGGTGGATTCATACCTTTCCCAATGGTATTGTGCGTAAGTGAATATAACGAACCCAGCGAGAATTGAAACTCGGCCTTCTGATTAACAATTCGGATGCATTATCCATTACACCACCCGCACATCCAAGCTTACCTGGTATTCCAAAGCGTTCACATATTTAGGTACTGGCCAGGT